CTGAAATAGAACATATAATCCTAAAATTCATATGGAACCATAAAAAACTCCAAAAAGTCACAGCAATCTTGAGATATCAGAACAAAGTGGGAGGGATCAGGCTACCCTGACATCAAATCATGCTACAATGCTATGGTAATCAAAACAGTATGGTACAGGCATAAAAACAGACACACAGATCAGTGGAACAGAATAGAGCCCAGAAATAATTCCATCCATATATGGTCATTTAATCTACGACATTGGAAGCAAGAATTTACACTAAAGTTAGTCTATTTAATAAATGGTGCTGGGAAAATTGAACTGACACATGGAAAAAAATGAAAATGGACCACCTACTTATGCCATATACAAGAACAAACTTGAAATGAATTAAAGACTTAAATGTAAGACCTGAAACCATACAACTCCTAGAAGAAAACATAGGGAGTAAATTTGTAGATATTATCCTGAGTAATATTTTTACTGATCCATCTCCTTGGGCAAAGAAAAGAAAAGAAAAAAAATAAACATATGGGATTACATCAAACTTAAAAGTTTTTTCACAGCAAAGGAAATCATCAATAAAACAAAAAGGCAGCCTACTGAATGGGAAAAGACATTTGTCAACGATATATCTAATAAGAGGTTAATATCCAAAATTTATAAAACACTCATTCAACTCAACACCAAAAAAACAAACAACCTAATTTAAAAATGGGCAGAGGATATGAAGAGACATTTCTCTAAAGAGGACATACAGATGGCCAACAGGCATATGAAGAAATGTTGAACCTCACTAAACATTAGAGAAATGCAAATAAAAACCACAATGAGATACCACTTCACTCTGGTCAGAAGGGCTATTATCAATAAATCAACAAACAAGTGCTGGCGAGGTTGTGGGAAAAAAGGGAACCCTAGTGCACTGTTGGTGGGAGTGCAGATTGGTGCAGTCATTATGCAAATCAGTATGGAGGTATCTCAGAAAACTGAAAATGGAACTACCTTATGACCCTAAAATTCCACTCTTAGGTAGCTATCCAGAGAAATCCAAGACGCTAATTCGAAAAAATATACGTACCCCTATGTTTATTGCAGCGCTATTCACAATAGCCAAGATGTGGAAACAACTGAAATGCCCATTGGTAAATGAATGGATTAAGAAGCTGTGGAACATTTATACAATGGAGTATTACTCAGCTATGAAGAAGAATGAGATCGTACCATTTGCAACGATATGGACAGACCTAGAGGACATTATGCTAAGTGAAATAACTCAGTGGGAGAAAGACAAATACCATATGATCTCACTTATATGTGGAATCTAAAGAACTGAATGAATGAGCAAAGTAAACAAAAATAGTCTCAGAGATATAGAGGAAAAACTGATGGTTGCTAGATGGGAGGGGGGTGGGGATGAGGGAGAAGGGGAAGGGATTAGACAGCATAGATAGGTAACTACAATATTGCCACAGGCATATAAAAAACAGTTCAGGAATATAATAATGCTGTAAAAATTTTGTAGGCTGTCAGAGGGTCACATGTCTTGTTGGGGAGACCACTTCATGGATGGTGTAGAGGCTTGACCACTGCACTGTACATCTGAAGGTGACATTGAGTAGTACTGTATGTCAAGTATAATTTAATATATGTATATATGTATATATATATATATATATATATATATATATATATATATATATATATATGATCACGGGATGTGGAGTATAGTGTGGGGAGTGGAGTCAATGGAATTATAATAGATATGTGTGATGTCGGGGGGAGGGGTGAGTGGGGCAGTGGATTGGGGGAGGGTTGTCACTTTGTGAGAAGTAAAAAGTATAACTATTACATGTTTTGTACATCTGAAACTAATAAAAAAATTAAAAACAGAAACTTTGCAAGACATAAAAGTTTCACAATGTAAAAGTTTCAACATATAAAAATCAGTTGTGCATCTACATAGTAGCAGCAACATTTCAGAATAACTTCATAATTGCATTTGTGTCAAAAATGTAAAATATTTGGGAATAAAGTCAGCTAAAGACATGTAAGACTTCTATGTGGAAAACAACACAACACTGCAAGAGAAATTCAGGACTTAAATAAATGAAGATATCATAGTCACAGATGGATATCTTAACTATATATTCAGGATTTCTATTATATACAATCCAAATAATCACAAAAGGTTTTCTTTACAGAAAATGACTAGCTGACTCTCAATTTTATGTGAAAATTCGAAGGACTTGCAATAGTCAAAACAAATTTGATTTTAAAGGACTGATTTTTGAGCTACCAGAATCAAGACCGTGTCACTCAGGCATAAAGACAGACAAACTGGTCAATGAAAAAGAACTGAAAGTCCAGCAAAGGACCCAAATTTTATGGTTACATCATTTTTCACAAAGGTGCCAAAGCAACTAATGGAGTAAAATAAAAATATTTCAAATGATGATATTGGAATGAGATAGATACTCCCATGGAAAGTAAAAATAAAGCTTTATCCCCACACCTCATGCTATTTTCAAAAATCAACTCAAAATGGACCATAGGCTTAAATGTAAAAGATAAAACTATGAAGGTTCTAGAATACTAGAGAGTACCTTCATGACATGACAGTAAACGAAGATTTCTTGGACAATATACATACAAAACATTAATCTTAAAAATACTGATAAATCAGACTTCATCTAAATTAAGAACCTTATTCTTTGAAAGACACAATTTAAAAAATGAAAAGGCAAGTCACAGAATGGGTGAAATTCTACTACACATATATCTGACAAAGGATTTATATACAGAATATATTTTGTAAAAACTCCTGTAACTCAGTAAGAAAAGCAACTCTATTTAAAAATGTATTCCAATGTTCAGACCAGCTTGATTTATATTAGCCCAAATATGGAAACCCAAATGCCCATCTAAAGGAAAATGGACGAACAAAATATGCTATAACGTGGAATTATTCCATATAATAGAATAACACTGTGTGATAAAAAAGAATTACTGATACACTCAACAATATAGGGAAATCTCACAAACATGCTGAACAAAAAGTCAGTCACCAAAGAATTCATATTGCATGATTCAATTTAAATGGAGCTCTAGATGAGAGAAAACAAATCTATGGGGAAACAGAGGAGTTAATTAGTCTCTGGGGAGTAGGATGGAATGGGAAGAAGCATGAGGAAACTTTCTGTGGAGATAGATATGATCTATCAAATGATAAAAGCGTAAGTTACACAAATGTCTGCATTTGTTAAAACATGCTAACCTGTACTCAGTATTCATTTCACAATACATAAATGTTATCGTCTAAAAAAAAAAACCCAACAAAAACTGTAAACGTGCTGAAGTCCTAGTATTAATTTGCTTTTTACAGAGGTATGTGTTAGCAATTCTTAAATTACTTTTTGTGTGTTTTGGGATTGAGTAAATAAGTAAATATACTGAGGAAAATGTAAGTCAGGTTTCTCGCTGTTGGAGAAAGTAATTACAATATGGAAATAAAAGAGATTAGAATGAGGGTTCAAAGAGGATTTTATGAATTTGACCTCAAAGGCAAGGGAAGTAAAAGCTAAAGTAAATGAATGGGACTGTCTCAAACTAAAAAGCTTCTGCACAGCAAAAAAAAACCATCAACAAAACAGAGACAACCAACCGAATGGGAGTACCGTAGATATTTGCAAACACCACCTCCGATAAGGGGCTAATATCCAAAATATATAAAGAACTTGTACAACTCAACAACAAAAAAACAAACAATCCAATTAAAAAATGGGCAGAGGACCTGAACAGACACTTCTTCCAAAAAGACATATAAACAGCCAACAGGTATATGAAAAAAATGCTCAACTTCACTAGCCATTAGGGAAATGAAAATCAAAATCACAGTGAAATACCACCTCACACCTCTTAGAATGGCTATTATCAATACAAATAATAAGTTGGAGAGGCTGTGGAGAAAAAGGAACCCTCATACTCTGTTGGTGGGAATGCAAATTGGTACAGCCACCATGGAAAAACAATATGATGATAGAAATGGATTTATAGTCCATTGACTAAGAATCCATTATTAAAGCAATACATAATCCTAAACTAAATTCTGAACCAGGAAAAAAAAAACAGCTATAAAGAACATTGAGACAATTGATAGAATTTAAATATAATCTGTGGATTAGATAATATTATATCAATAGGAATTATACCAATTCCTAATTTTGGTCACTATACTGTGGTTTATAAGAGAATGTCATTATTCTTAGGAAATACATATGGAAACATATAGGGTAAAAGGCATGTCTCCAACTTATTCTCAAATGGTTCAGAAAAAAAATACATTTACCTTATGAATATGTAGAGAGACTGCTAAAGCAAATGGAGAAACCTAAAATAACTTGAATCTGAGTGAAAGGTATAAATGAGTTCCCTGTACTATTCTTATAACATTTTTGTACCTTTGAAATTATATCAAAATAAAGTAATAAAAAGACTACATAAAGTACAACTAAAATGCATGATCTCAAGGCCTTATAGTGTAAGGCTCAGTGGTAAGCATATGAGAGACAGTGTCGACTAAAGGTTAAGATGTACACCTTTTTTTTTAAAGACAAAATATAAAACTTAAAATGAAAAGCATCTCTTTAGCTTAAGATTTACATTTTTTTCCATTTAATCATCAGGTTCCCTCTCCTATGTAAGACACTCCCCTCTCTCCGTAGGCTTCAGCAGTCACTCCTTTAAACTCCTCGTAGACTTGTATATGACCTTCACTTGTCCCTTATCACATTTTATTTTGAATTGTTTTGTTTTACTATGTGTATCCCACTTGTCTAACTGGATTGCAAACCCTGTGAGGGCAGGAACCATTCATACCATTTGGTATTTTCAGTAACTTAATCAATCAGTGTCCTCAACATGCTTTGTAATGCTTAAAAATTAGTTGCTGATATGATTTTTTAGATATCAGTTTAATAAATACACTTCTATAGAATGATTTCTACAAAAAATGCTACCTGAAGTTCTCTTCCTGTAATTGTTCTAGTTGTAACTGTGCATGAAAAAACTTTTTCGCAACCATTGTATTTGGATCATCAAATGATCCATCCAACTGGTCAAGTTTTTCATTCATTATTTCATTCTCAGAAACTAGTGAATTCTTTTCATCTTGAAGTGCAGTCACCTAAAAAACAAATACATAAACGTAAGTATCAATAATAAAAAAGCTTAGAGTCTGCAGTTCTAGATTCTAACTCTGACTTGCCTAATAAATTAGGTTGATCAATCAGACAAGATAATTTCTAAGGATCCTTCCAATTCTGGAATTCTTGGTCTAGGAGGTTCAGATCAAACAAAAATCAAATTAATTTGATTACTATAGAGAAAACAGTTTACACAGATAAGGAGAATGTCTTCAAAATGTTTTACTTGTTCTAGAAAGAAAATGTTTCTAAGTTTCTAAAATTTGATGTACCAATAAAATTTAAAAAATTAATTTGTTCCTGTTTTAAGTATATATTTATATTTAGGATGCTGTTACCTAGCAAGCCAAAAAATACCACATATGCACAAAGGTGTCCTTTTAGGTTCACAGCAAAACATTACCAGTTACACATCAAGTCTTCATAGGAAAGCACCTTATTATTATATATTATTTGGTAAATGAATCAATAACAAAATGCTGAACTGAACCCATATCCATGCTGTGACTGTTCACTTATGATTTAAAATGAATAAAAACATGTAACGTTAGAATTACATCAATATCAGTACCTGATGCATTTTTTATTTTACTTTCATATTTATATAACAAGCATGATTTGCTTTCTTGCTTCTATTTCTTTTCCAATTAAAAACATCTTTAAAAATTTACAGCAAGGCTGTGACTTTTACAGTAAATTTAAATTGTTAATTTTTTGCCTTAAATACATATAGGCAAGTTACAAACATTGTCCTCCAAATGAGAAACAAAAAATAGGCTGGGAAACTGTCCTCAGGCCGACTATAGAAGGAAACAATTTCTCTTGCTAAATGTGATGCACGCATCCACCCTTGCCATATAAGCAGTTTAGTGACTATTACCTGTCATGTATAATCATAAGAGACTGAGGTACAAAAAAGAATGAGACTGTAGCAAGAAGTCTCAGGGTTTTTTATATCTGTTGACAACAGACAATCAGTGGATGCCGGCTGTGCAGTATCTCTGTCAACACCATATGCCTGCTTCTTTCCCGGATTACCATTTTATAAAAAATTTAACTTCATTAGGTTATGTCCTTTTGCTTATTTACCTGCCCTTGGAAAATTTTTTTGAGCTTATTTTCTTTTTTGTTTCATTTGTTAGGTATTAAAAAAGAAGCCCCCCCCACCCTCAATTTCAAAATCACTCTCGAGTGATATATGATTAAAAGTAAACATTTTTCAAAAACAATTTTCCTTATAAAATTGGGATTTGTGTCATATATACCTGTGTGAATGCCAGGTTGTTAAATGAATAAATTACTTTTTGTTCTGATTATATGTAGTAATCATTCATTTCATGTGCACAGCAGTTAGATGAGGGATACTATTAATACTAGAATTAAAACGCCAAAACTTAGGATGACTGCACTTTTCAACTAAAATAGATCATCACATACTCTACATTGTATTACAAACAAATATCTTAATACAGAATTTTATATTCTTTATTGAATAAGAATTTCTCAGAAAACTATATGGAGATCCTACATGATACTGGTAATACCTGAAGGATTCAATCCTCTGTTCTTTATGAGGTATTCTAGATATGTCTCAGATGCTTTGCGGGTGTGTGTGCATGTGTGTGTCTGTTACAATGTATAAGATGAGTGTGCTTAGGAAAGATGAAATGAGAACAGGTAGAATTTTCCCTAATTTTGAGACACTGGTTTTGTTCAAATATAAACACTGGCTTTGTTTAAACATAGAGGATTGATTTTTAAATTAAAGTGGAAAGACCTAGGTTCTGGCGCTGTCACTGCCCTAAGGAGCTAATCACCCTGACTGAATCACTTCTCTTTTCCTGATCTGCAAACCTCTGAAGGTTAGAAGTATGAGCCAGCCTTATTATTCTAGATATTTAGCTCAGCAAGCAAGGATGTTGCTACCACAACCCTTATTCCTTGTCCTAATACTTTTCAGTGTCTGTCACATATTTATGTAGCCCATTATTTGAATTTAAAAAATGCAATTTATTTATAGCATATTACGATGGCACATTTAACCTTTTGTATAATTTTTCAAGACTTACTGTGTAACTTTCACATTTGCATTTTCATATAACAACAACGATATATGCAAACGCATACATAGTGTTATGTGCCAGGCCCTAAGTGCTTTATGTATAATAACTTATTTAACTCTCATAATCGATCTGGGATATATATATATATATATATATATATATATANATATATATATATATATATATATATATATATATATATATATATATATATATATATATATATATATATATATATATATATATATATATATATACTATTATCACATTATTTCTCAAAAGAGAAAACTGAAGTATAGGGAAATTAAGTAATTTGCCTGAGAGTATATCACCAGCTAGTTAACATGGCCAGGTTCTGATTATAGGTGGCCTGGTTTGAAAATCTACTCCTTTAACCATTAACTATTGTCTCCGGTGCCAAGTTTATTCTGCTAACGTGTATGTACATATGAACACAAGAATTATATATACATGGATTCATACACACGTACATGTTAGCAAAACAAACTTAGCACTCGTTGGGGGTCTAGCATTTCTCAGTACTTCCATAAATCACCTCACTTAATAATCATATCCTACGAAGTAGATACTTTAATTTTCCCTTTTTACAAAAGAAAAAACTAAGGCCTCATCTAAATACTTTAGCTGAAATTCTACAATTAGAATGATCTTCTCAAAGAAGTAGTTAAATCAGCAATTTTCAACTCTAAGAAATTATGAAATTCATTGCTTGAATATGCAAGCCTATAATACATTCTTTTACTGGTCCCTCCATGAAATGAAACCTCACCTTTAAAACACTTTGCCAACTAATTAATTAAAAATAAAACCCTTGTAAGTGTAAAGAGTAAATTTTTCCTAATCAGGCTTCTTTTCCGCACCTGCATATCTAGCTCTTGGCATCTTTGTCTCAGTTCTTCTTTTTCTGCTAGTGCTTCCTGAAGCTCTTCCAGGGCCCTTTTAAGCTGAAATACAAAATGTCCTAACTCTTAGTAAATTGTGTTTTTACACAAACTGAAAAATATACTTTTACCACAACACACACATATACGTTGATATTGGAAAAGGTTTTAAAATTTTACCTATTAACAAATAAGTCTCCATTTGTTATTTTTGTGTGAATATTTACATAGTCTCATTAACATTCCCACAGAAATAAGTTTATATATATATATATATATATATATATATATATATATATCCTTGTGAAATATTTAAACAAAAGAGTATTAGAGGATGTACTGCTTAACTTTATCACAGAAAAAAATTTAGAACACACCAAGTTTAAATTGAAATAAAACCTGAATAGTAAAAAGTATTTGAAATACTTAAGATAACTGATCACACTCATAAAAACCAGATTTCCAAAAATAAAACAGCAAAAGTACTTGATGCATTAGCCTCTTCTCTTACCCGTTCCCTTAAAACCAGACTGGGTTATACACAGGAGGAGAATGCCTTTTCCCCCATGTGAAACAGTCATGTAATAAAACCAGGAGACTTGAGTACAATGCTTTGAGTTGATGCTTCAACATCAGGAGAGAGGAAAGCAACTGTGACAAAAGTTATATTACCTTATTAGATAAATTAGAACTTAGAAGAAGTTTTTAAATTGTCTACTATTTAATTGTATAAACAAGTAAAATGGGCCACATATGCATTACAAGTGTCAGAAAGAAAGTTCCATACCACTGAACTCTTCAAAAATGATGATTGAAACACAAGCAACCAAACAAAAACAACTCTGGAGACTAATACTACTATGCATTCATGAAGGAATGCATAATAGTATTCAGTTGAGATCTTATAACAGAATAAACTATCCAAACTTCATGGAGAAAAGTTATCTTACATATGCTCTCCTCTGTAAGCTTTATATAGCAATTGGCAAAATACTGTATCACTGTTTTCAACATTTTCCTCACACACTGCATACTCACCTGTTGCTCTAATTCTCCAACAGCATCACTTGCAGGAGAGCTCAGTGCTTCTTTACTCATCAACTAGGAAATGAAAATACAAAATTAAGTACAAGAAAGTGATGTCTATGCAGTAAAAATGTTTACTTGAGAGTAAAATGCTTTATATTTAGTTTTTCCTTGACTTAATTTGATAATTCTTAGATTATTCAAATTAAAATTTTATGGAGGTTTAAGTTAAATAACAGTGTTCAAGCATTATATTGGTGAGGACATTATAAATGTGCTTGAGATATGTAGTTATATTGAAAATACTTGTGTACCGGGCCGGCCGAGTGGCTCAGTTGGTTAAGAGCTTGCTCAAGAGTTTGAGCTCTGAGCAACAGCGGTTCGAGTCCAGCCCGAGCTGAGCAGCCGCTGAGCTGCCAACAGGTAGCAGGATTGCTCAGCTAAAAACAAAAACAAAAACAAAAAAAACGAAAATACTTGTGTACCAAAACATTAACAATCTAAGTTCTAAAAAATGAATTACTAAATAAACTGAACATTAATTTTAAAGAAATGATTCTTCCATAACACAAATTAACACTTAAAATACCTTTAAATGAGTGATATGACAAAATTACTAATTTGAGAAGTCATTTTAAAAATAGGAATATGAAAAAAATCTTGTAAAATAACTATTTTGCATAAGAAAGGCAGATTTATTTAGAGACACTTTGAATTCAAATCAACAATGCAAACTAAGAGTATACAAACTTCCAAAGTGCTGTATGATATCTCCCTCTAAATCATGCCCCTTCCAAGCTATGTTTGTCCTCACTAATCCCTCACTCTACTTTCCCTCAGGTCTCTGCACTCTACTTTATCTCAGCCTTTTCAGTCTGATTTTAAGGGTCAACACAAATGATACGAATTCCGAATATTTATGGTTCAACTTAGATAACTGGACTGGCTTGATACCAGACTACCTGGCTCCAAACCCTAAGTATCACCATATTTGCTCACAGTTCTAACATTCTGAAAATGCATATGATTCTCTCTCTCCCCCTCTCAAATTTCAGGAAAGATTGCTCCAAATGGCAGAAAAAAAGAGAAGAAATAAAAAGTCCCATCTAGGCAGAGGTTGTTTATTTTCTTAGTTGAAGTTATTTAAAGGAACTTGATGATATCAATTTATTTTTTAAAATGCACAGGGATCAAAAGTGGGCTTGTCTTTTAAGATATTTTGAAAAAAACAAAAAAAAAACAAAACACAGCTACAGGTAAGCAAGCCTGCTGCAAAGGGCAAGTTTATACAAACAGAAAAATATATATAGTCCATATAATTTATGTGAAAAATTTGTATAGTTTGGTTTAGGGTTTTCATACATACGTGAATATGATATAACTTACCTCTTGAATAGCAGTCATGACCACATGTTGAACAGACTCTTCCAGTGTCATTATATTTTTAATATGTTCTATGATTTAAAAAAAAAGTCAGATCTGAAAAAACTACTCTCTACCCATAGTACTTTTATGGTATTCAAATTAACACTATAAAGATCCATTTTTCACACCAAATTCTCTATGAAAGCACATTATTTTTCCACAAAAAATATGTCCATTGAAAACAAAGAGTTGAAAGTATTCATTTAAATATTTTTAAATGTTTTATTCTAAAGAAGAAAACCTTTCATTTTCTTATAAGGAAGAGAAAGAGAAAAAATTGCAATTAATCTTAAAACAATTGTGACAATTTCTTTCCTCTTCGTAAATACTCATTATTATGGGATAAATTCATGGGTATTAAATGAATTCCTAAAATCTTAAGCCCAGAAAGTTTCGTTTTATCACCTACTTAGTTCACTTCACAAAGGCTTTCAAAAAGGAACTTAACAGCTTCCTATAAAAGCTTGCTCAATATTTATGTAGTCTCATCTCAAGGGCATTCTTATATATTACAACAAAGACACATGCAATAAGTAAAATTGATTCTATCCCAATAAGAAATGAATCATGAGAGTCTTTCATATATTTGCAGATTTATATCCATTTTAACTGTATATTCTCTAGCTAAAACAAGTTTCCAAAAATTTTAAGGACTTATTATTTCTAATACTTTTATTGTTTTAATCATTCCTCTGAAAAACTTCTGAAAGTTCTCTAAATTTTTATTTGCAAAGGCAAGATTGGACAAAGATTCTGATAGGTTCTGGTGTGCACCTGACCAATAAGTGCTATGGAGGTGGGGGAGAGGGAAGATTTAATTAGAGAATGCATGAGCAACGGAATGGTTTCCTTTAACAGGATTTTTTGGATAACGGAGTGTTTCGAGGTTGCTGAAACCTTAATAAAAATGATCACTTTCCCCACCAAAATAAATGGTACTGTTAAGCAAATTAGTTCATTCTTTCATGATTGAGATTGTTGCAATACCTTGGAATCACTTTGAAAATACATTCTTCAAAGTATAAAGATATGGAAGTTGTTTTATATTCTGGGTTGTTTTGTTTTTAAATAATTAAAAGTTGGTTTTTTCCCATTTATCTGCTCACTCCTAAAAATTGAGAACCCAGACACATAACTCCAAAAATAAATTCAGTTACATAATCCTGAGTTTTTAATAATGAAGATTAAATTGTTTCTTTATATTTACTACTTGCTAAACTTTTATGTATGTATCCAGGAACTGAATTTCTTTTTAAAAATCTGAGGACAAATTTGCTAAGTAGTGCTTAGAACTAAATTATGAAAATACTACATTTATATTAAAATTAGTAGGAGGCGGGCCGGCCGAGTGGCGTGATGGTTAAGAACTGGCTTGGGATGCCAGAGGGCCCCGGTTCGGATCCCACATATGAGGGCCAGTGACACTGCCCTCTACAGCTAAGATGCTGAACAACAGCTCAACCTGGAGCTGGGCTGCCGTGAGTCGCCGGCAATGGCGTAGGCTGCAGCCCCTGTGGCAATGGGTTGCCACGGGCTACCATATGTAGCCAGCAGCCAGTGTGAGCGGCCAGCAGCCGCCGTGAGCGGCGGTCCAGAAGCCGGCGACTCATCTGCCTCACCCGGGAAGAGTGCAATGATGGTGCCAACTTTCCAGTGAAGCAACGTCCTCCACAACTAGACTGAAGAACAAAAGGACAGCAACTTCTCTGTTCCCCTTCCCCCAACTCCCCAGCGCTGTTCCCATCCCCCAATTCCCCAATAAAAATTAAAAAAAAAAAAATTAGTAGGAGGCAACAAAATCATAACTTAAGGGCAAGTTATAGCTTAATGTCAGTTATAGCTTAGGAGAACTGATTAATTCACAATAGAAACAAATGAGATAAAAGGACAGATATTAAATAGTACAAATAAAATAGAATCAAAGCCAAAGTTGGTCATTTGAAAAAGACTATAATAACTGACAAACATGCTAAACTAAGCAAAAGGATGTTATAAATAACGAGTAACTGAAATAGAAACAAAGCAAAAAAATAAAAAGGATCAAAGTAACAGAAAATTGCTAATTTAAAAATGAGTTACTATTTGTCAATTTGTAATTAAACATTTACAGAAGTTACAACTTTCCAAGAGCAAATATTCCTTACTTTTATGAAAAACCCAATACACAGATCTTTGTTTGACATTATCTGTGAGAAGTAGCCTCTAGAGAAGTACTGACTTGCCCTAGAAAAAGTAGCTAGTTAGTAACAGAAATGGACTTATATCAAAGTTTTCTGATACCCAATCCCTTCTTTATTGATAAACTACAACTGATTTCATGTATTTTATTTTTCTCCTTCCTGAATTTGTCTTACTGAATTTATCCTGTCTCATATGCTCTCCACATTAGATAACATTAAATGTGTTTTCTAAGGTCCTGGCTTAAAGTATTTTACAAACTTAAGCACCCAACATTCTCTTTTAAAGATAATATACTGAGGCCAAGTTTGGATGAATCACACAAAAAACAGCAGCAAAAATCTCACCATCCAGACTGATGCAAGCCCCCTGGTCTGTTCAGTTCATCATTTTATTCACCATATTCAACAAAAAATGCTCGTTTTGTACTCAGTACAATATGGATCACTATGTTTGGGTAAATCAATACAATATACCGATTCCATTTATATCATCAGACTGCTTATGTGGTGAAGACGTTGGACAGGCACTGTTCTGAAGAACAGAATATCATCTGAAGAAGCCTGAATTATAATTTAGGACGTGCATATTTACTTATGAAAATCTGCATCGACCTAAGGTTCTATATCTTACATGTGAAAGAGGTAATGTATCAAACTAATTAGTACAATTTTTACTGACTATCCACTAAGTCTTGAGCATTAAATACATTAAATTAATTAAATTAAAATACATTATATTTAGCCACTAATTATGAATCTCAGAATCCAGGTATAATTAAAGTACTCAAGATTTGTAGCTTTTTAGTGGCAGAGCTGAGCGAAGATTCAGATCTCCTGGCTTACATGTCAGGGTGCTCTTTGCCAACCTGTAATAGTACATTTTTATGCTACTTTCTATAGCAATATAGGTTGTTTCTAGACAGTATGTATTCTCAAATGACTGAAATTCACTTACCTTGCTTCTTTTCACAGTTGACTGCACAACCTAAAATAAGCTGGAGCAACCTCCCAAGTTCCACAGGATCTGAACATTCAGTTATTTGGTTTAAATCAGGGATAAGTTCTTCAGAAATTTGTTGCCCCAAAAACTGCAGTATTAAAATAATAAATTAGATCACTCATTTACGTAGGTTACAAAGAATTTACTACATTTAATTATTACTAGGAAAATAAATTATAAACAGGTTCATGAAATGACTCAGACAAATTAATAATAATTTCATAATTATTTACTAAAACCAGTTAGCAAAGTTCAAGCAACCCTCTAAAATTGTGACTAACCAACCAAAAGCAACTAAAATGTTTTACACCAAATATTCTTTGATCCCACTGTCAGAGAGAGGGATTGTTTAAGACCCTGGCCTTATCTATTATGATAAAACTTATTAAAAAATAAACAGATTTATGTTAAGCCAAAGGATATTTATGACATTTTGAAATGTGATCAATTAAGAGAACCACAAAATAAACCATCACAACTATCACACACGAACAACAAATCTAATGGATTAATCTTTCTTGGCTTATTTTTCTTTTCTAGCTTATTAAAAAGTTTTAGTGGCATTAAAAAAAAGTTCTAAAATGAGTTTTAGATATAAATTGAAAACTTTCAGTTTTTAAATTTGGAAGAAATTACGAGTTTAACTGAGACAATTTAAAAAAAATAGAAATATAATTTTTTAACAGCAAAACCAAACCAAAAGTTTCCAAACATTAAGCAATAAACTTTCTTATACCAAATAATCCTTCCAGAGAACTTATGATGCTAAATAAAAAAAACTACTTGATTAATGCACTAACTAATGTGAGTATAATATTAGGTACTTTCATTTTGCATTCCCCCCCCCAATTCACTTGCACAAGCATAATTTCGCAATATATTCTTTCTGTTGTTTACACTGGAAAGAATATCAAAATAGTATTTTAAATAGGAAATAACTTCAATTTAATTATAAGATCTACTTTAAAGCATTGCATAAAATCAAATCATATAAAGATAAAGGTAATTCTATTTCAGAAAATCAATTTAAAGAATATATACAGAAACATTATTTTACAAATCATTATATTAAGTTTAAGCCTGTTTATGTTCACAAAATTTGTTCTAAAAATGGCAAAAAAAACAGTAACATGTTCCACTTACGAATTATTTTCCAATAAAATGTTATAAACAAAAAGCCAAGTCATTTTTCAATGTCAATATTATCATATAGCATTTGAATTTAAACAAAGTCAAATGTTTTCCATACCTCACTGTAATAACTCATCATTCCTTGAAGTACCTTCTTTAAATTACTAGCCTAAAGTGGAAAAAATAATAATTAGTTATTTAATATTAATAATGAAAGACAATGTTTGCCAAGATGAAAGACAATAAAAACTTCCCCTGATAAAAACAGCAAAAACATTGTATGTTACAGTTCTACAAATACAAGTACATGATAATTTCTAAACATCAAAGCTTTAATCTGTTTGATTAAAAGAAAATGTCTTCATGCTTACAGTTTAACCAGGGTGATCCTATTTAAAGTGAGCCACAATGAATTCAAGTGCCAACTTTAAAGATTTAGCGATGAGCATGTCCACCTTCAGTCATGAGTAACAAGGTTCAGATTTACTCTCTTGCTACAAACTAGAAAACAGGACAAAATACAAGCAACAACTGTTTTCAAGCTTCAGCCAACAGGCATTATAGAACTCTAATTTCTGAGAGAACAAAAACAAAAATGATAAGCCCCACACTAGTACAAGATTTCTCTCTGGGGTCAATTTTCATACCATGGCATAGGGAGGCAGAAACTAAACAAAGCCTGATGCTCTTGTTAAATTGAGGAGATAGAAATTAGAAGTCCAGAAAGGTGAAGGTAGTTAGAATTTACAGGGCAGACAAATTAAGAAGTGAGAGCTCCGGAGAGGAAGAACTCTAGAAACCTGCGTAATGGTTCCTTTGACTCTTTGGATGAACATGAATTTGCATGTGCATGGGTGAAATTCAATGAGATAAAACAAAAATAATTTCCAGGAAGCTATAAACTAAACAATTTCCAAAGATTATACCAACCAGAAATTGTTGAAATTCCCACCAGCCATACTGAAGAGACTATGCTGTACAGACAAGCATTTCCTAACAACCCCAGAAATGTCATGACTTAGCAGTGGGTCTAACCTAGCTCTAAAAGAAAAAATAATTCTAGATCTGCTTCCCACCCCCGCAAAACACTTTGAAAGGATCAAACTGATTCACAAGTATCTTAACTGCCTGAAAGAACAAAGTCCAACACTCTTTAAAACAATACAAAAAAAACCAAAAACCCAGCACTCAACAATAAAATTCATACTGTCTAGCATCCAATAAAAAATTACTATACATGTGAAGAAGTGGTAAATTGTGAACCATAACAAGGACAAAACTCAGTCAACAGCAATGGGCCCAGAAATGAAAGATAAAAGAATTAGAAGATAATGTTAAAACTGTTAGTTTAAAAATGTTCAAGGATTTAAATGAAAACAGGTACATATGAAAAGAAATGGAAGTTGTTTTTTTTTCTTTTTTTTAAGAACCAAAGAGATTATCACTAGATAAAAAAGTAAGACCTAACTATTAGGTATTTACATAAAATGCTTCCAATATAAAGACACAGATATTAAGAGAATAGACAAAGATATACTAAAGCAAAAAAAATAAATAACAAAACCAAAGTGGTTACATTAATATCAGGCAAATTAGACTTCAGAAGAATATTGTCAGGGATAAAAGGCATTTCATAATAATAATTAGATTCATTCATCAATAAGACAAAAAATTAATGTATATAAACTTAGTAACATTAAAATTACACGATTTAAAAATTAACAGAATTGAAGAGCAAAAAATAAATATCTTGTAAAAAAATTTAACAGAGTTAAAAGAAATTGACAAATCCACAGTCATCATTAGAAATTTAAGGACCCACCCCTCTCTCCCACCCTTGATAAAATAACCAGACAGAAAATCAATAAAGATATCAAAGATGTAAACAGTACTATTAAAAAATCTGACAATATCCATCATTATAGAACTGCAGAATACAAGTTGTTTTCAAGTGCACATGGAATATTCAACAAGCAGACAGATCATATGTTAGGTCATAAAATAGGTCTCAGTAAATGTAAAAGAATTTAATACAGAGTACGTTCTTAAACCAAAATGGAATTAAATTAGAAATTAAGAAATAAAAGAAGTTACCTTGAAAATCCTCAAATATATAGAATTTGAAATACCTACTTCTAATTTACACATGAGTCAAAAGAAAAATCACAAGGGGAATTAACAAACATTTTGAACTGAATGAAAATAACAGTCTGTCAAAATGTGTGGGATATGGCTAAGGCAATGCTTAATATTAGGGAAAGGGGGCCTAAAATTGATGATTCAAGCTTCCATCT